CCGACGCCTGGGTGATGCTGGACATGGGAGATAGGAAAGAGGTGAAAATGATCCCCAAGTCCTCGTTCAGCATCAACAGCCTGGTGCCCGAGGCGGTCCAGAACGACAACCACCACGCCAGCCACGGCCACCACAACGCGCACCACCCCCCGCACCACCACCACCACCACCACCACCACCACCACCCGCCGCCGCCCGCCCCGCAGCCGCCGCCCCAGCAGCAGCCGCCGCCGCCGCCCCCGGCCCCGCAGCCCCCCCAGGCGCGGGGCGCCCCGGCCGCCACCGCCGCCGACGACGACAAGGGCCCCCAGCAGCTGCTGCTCCCGCCGCCGCCGCCGCCCCCAGCCGCCGCCCTGGACGGGGCCAAAGCAGACGCGATCGGCGGCAAGGGCGAGCCGGGCGGCGGGGGGCCCGGGGAGCTGGCGGCCGTTGGGCCGGACGAGAAGGACAAGGGCGCCGGGGGGGAGGAGAAGAAGGGGGCGGGCGAGGGCGGCAAGGACGGGGAGGGGGGCAAGGAGGGCGAGAAGAAGAACGGCAAGTACGAGAAGCCGCCGTTCAGCTACAACGCGCTGATCATGATGGCCATCCGGCAGAGCCCCGAGAAGCGGCTGACCCTCAACGGCATCTACGAGTTCATCATGAAGAACTTCCCCTACTACCGCGAGAACAAGCAGGGCTGGCAGAACTCCATCCGCCACAACCTGTCGCTCAACAAGTGCTTCGTGAAGGTGCCGCGCCACTACGACGACCCGGGCAAGGGCAACTACTGGATGCTGGACCCGTCGAGCGACGACGTGTTCATCGGGGGCACCACGGGCAAGCTGCGCCGCCGCTCCACCACGTCGCGCGCCAAGCTGGCCTTCAAGCGCGGGGCGCGCCTCACCTCCACCGGCCTCACCTTCATGGACCGCGCCGGCTCCCTCTACTGGCCCATGTCGCCCTTCCTGTCCCTGCACCACCCCCGCGCCAGCAGCACTTTGAGTTACAACGGCACCACGTCGGCCTACCCCAGCCACCCGATGCCCTACAGCTCCGTGTTGACTCAGAACTCGCTGGGCAACAACCACTCGTTCTCCACGGCCAACGGGCTGAGCGTGGACCGGCTGGTCAACGGCGAGATCCCCTACGCCACGCACCACCTCACGGCCGCCGCGCTCGCGGCCTCGGTGCCCTGCGGCCTGTCGGTGCCCTGCTCCGGGACCTACTCCCTCAACCCCTGCTCCGTCAACCTGCTGGCGGGCCAGACCAGTTACTTTTTCCCCCACGTCCCGCACCCGTCAATGACTTCGCAGAGCAGCACGTCCATGAGCGCCCGGGCCGCGTCCTCCTCCACGTCGCCGCAGGCCCCCTCGACCCTGCCCTGTGAGTCTTTAAGACCCTCTTTGCCAAGTTTTACGACGGGACTGTCTGGGGGACTGTCTGATTATTTCACACATCAAAATCAGGGGTCTTCTTCCAACCCATTAATACATTAACATCCCTGGGACCAGACTGTAAGTGAACGTTTTACACACATTTGCATTGTAAATGATAATTAAAAATAAGTCCAGGTATTTTTTATTAAGCCCCCTTCCCGTTTCTGTACGTTTGTTCAGTCTTTAGGGTTGTTTATTATTCTAACAAGGTGTGGAGTGTCAGCGAGGTGCAATGTGGGGAGAATACACTGTAGAATATAAGGTTTGGAAGTCAAAATTATAGTAGAATGTGTATCGAAATAGTGACTGCTTTGCCATTTCATTCAAACCTGACAAGTCTATCTCTAAGAGCCGCCAGATTTCCATGTGTGCAGTATTATAAGTTATCATGGATCTCTCTGGGGGACGCAGACCTTGAGAACAGCCTAAATTATGGGGAGAGTTTTAAAATGTTACACTGTAATTTGTATTTAAGAAGCATTCGTAGTAAAGGTGCCCAAGAAATTATTTTGGCCATCTATTGTTTTGTCCTTTTCTTTAGAGAACTGTTTTTATTTTCTTTTGTTTACTTTTAGACCAAAGATTGGATTCTAGAAAATGCACTTGGTATACTAAGTATTAAAACAAACAAACAAAAAAGGAAAGTCGTTTCAGTTGGCAACACTGCCCATTTAATTGAATCGGAAGGGGACAAAATTAATGATTGCCTTCAGTTTGTGTTGTGTATATTTTGATGTATGTGGTCACTAACAGGTCACTTTTATTTTTTCTAAATGTAGTGAAATGTTAATACCTATTGTACTTATAGGTAAACCTTGCAAATATGTAACCTGTGTTGCGCAAATGCCGCATAAATTTGAGTGATTGTTAATGTTGTCTTAAAATTTCTTGATTGTGATACTGTGGTCATATGCCCGTGTTTGTCACTTACAAAAATGTTTACTATGAACACACAGAAATAAAAAAATAGGCTAAATTCATATATATCTTGATACTTTTGTCTCTTTTATTAAGTAGAGCTAATTTTTAAAAGACCATTCAATTTATAGGGAGTTCAAAGGCTCTTCTGGCCAAACTAAGATTTAAACTGCTCCTCTAATTTGAACTGCTATTCTGAAAATGGAAATAGAATGTTTTTTCCCTTTGTGGACAAATTTTAACAGGAGCAGGCTATTTAATAAACACTAGCTTTAAACAAAGTATAGGCTTTGCAGCTGATATCTTTTAAGTTTTTGTGGATATACAGCAAAAAAAGAGATATTTAATTTTATGTGCATTGCTGTTTATTTTTAAATCAGTTAATAGAATGCTTTTATATACTTTGTTTCAGGTATCTTGTTTATAGCACTTGGCAAATTATAAATAAATATATGTATATGGTTAGATAGTAGTGAATAATGAACACATATGTAATATATAGAGATACACAAAGCCCTTCAGTTCAGGTACAATTTGCGCTATGAATGCTGCAAACATTTTTGTTTAAATATTTGTATTTATACTTTCTAAGTCAGCATTTATTTTTGTGGCTGTTTACCCACAATGGAAGAGTTCTAATAAAGATGTGCTGAAATTGCAATATAGATTTTGCTGAAGTGATCACCTGTTGTAATGACTTGCAGATCAATGTTGATATTAATTTTAAATAATAACCATTTAAAATTCTAGATATTCAGAAGAAGCAACATGCCTCTCTCTCCTTTTATTCCTCATTTTTTACAACATAGAGGTACTTCTTTGATTCTCTTTTAAATGTGTCTGTATAATTTAAAGATTTGTTCCATTTGCTTACACTGAGTCATAATTTTGTTTTACTTTCCAATATGCATATGTATGTATATATATGCATATATATGAAATGAAAGCATTTTTAATCATTTCAGGCAGCCCAAATGCTATAATTCCAAAAAATAATTGGAAAACCTGAGTAAAAGGTTTAGTAACTAATTGGATCCTGTGGTGAGTCTGTAGAGGACAAGTTGTTCATTTGTTACAATTGTATAGTCTGAAATGTGTTCTGCAGTAATGCAATAAGCTGGCTACTTCTTACAATGGGCCCAATGAAAAATAATCCGTCCTTAAGATGTTATCAGCAAGCAGAGAGTTGCTGGGGGTGTGGGGGGGAGAAGCAAGCTGACTAAAGTAGACTTGAAATTGAAATGCAGAGTAGTTAATATTGGAAAATGGGAGTAAGTGGAGAGAGAAGATAGAAGAGAAGAGAGAGAGAGAGTGACTAAAAGAACTGGAATCAAATATATGGGGGGTGAGGAAAAAGTAGATCAAAACAGCTAGTTTAATTATCTTCTTTAAGCAGTCTGAACATGATTTTATTCTCTTATTATGAGGAAACATTCAACAGGGATAAAAGTTTCTTGAAACGTAACAGTTCTTCAGAATGAAGCATAAAAGAAAACTTCACAAATTATTGTGTTAAAACCCATATTTATGGCCTATAAAAAGTAGAGTACATGTGCTGAGGTTAGGCAAAGGAAATCCTCATCACACAGTTGTGATCCAGAATACCTGGAAGAAAGGCTTATGTTTAGGCTGGGAAGAGGTGATGATTTATCGTTTGCTTTTGCTATGGGTTTCTTTTGTGGAATGAGAATGTACTACCACAGAGGAAATATAGTATTTTCACCTACCAAAACTTGAAAAGAAAGTTGAACTCATACTGAGATAAAAGGACATAGATAGAGGAAAAAAATTCCTCCATGAATTTTTTATGGTTATATATTAAATACTTCTTTATTTGTGATTCAAAGTGTTTATTTGGATGTAGAGAAATAGAATTTCAAGGCAAACTTTGTACTTTGAACTCAAGAATAAAATTGGCCTCTTTTCATTCATATAAACTAAGTACTGGAATAGTTATGCCTGGACACATATTCAAATTACATATACAACAGATGTGATTAGGAGTTTAGTTATTAGGCATACTAGACATGAAGAGGGTTGCACAAAGGAAAAACTTGGAAGGCCTTCTAAAGCCTAATGTGAACATTTCATCTACCTTGATATATTCTATAATTCCTCAAGATATCTTTCAAAAAAAGCAAATGACAGTCTGGCCTGACATTTAATATATTTTTGCATCAGATCAATTGTAATGTTGTCTTGTTTGTTGTCACCAGCCTTTGTCATTTAAAATTACCTCATGCCAGAACAATACTTCAAACTTTGTTAAGACTATTTTCTTTTAAACTTATAATTGTTTTTATTGAGATAGTGGTAGCCCTTTTTGAGATTTTTGGAACTGAAAATGATCACAACTTAACACTTGAGATCCCAAATTATATTTATTTACAAGTTTAAAGTGAAATACCCAAATTTGCCTAGTATAAAGTTAATAAAAACTATTAATATATAAAACACTGAGATAATGATGTAGACCTGAACAGTAAGTAATTCTTCCAAACATGTTTCCTCAGTCTGTTGCAAAATTGGAAATAAAATGAACATAAGGTCTAGAACTATCAACATTTAAGACAAATATCCTTATCATCATGGTAGCCTTCATGTGATTTCTATGAGCAATCAAATTGAGAGAGGCAAAAAAAAAAAAAAAAAACAAAACCAAAAACGAGTCTTGCAGTGTATTGATTTTAATAAATTGGTAACATTTCACCCAAACAGGTATATAAATCCGATATATTTAGAGCTCTATATAAAAGTGTGGTTTTACAAAGCGTAGTTTCTACACCATTGTTGAAGAATTTGGATGAATGGAAATAATTTGCTTTTGAGAAATTAATTTTATGAATAGCTAAAGGGGCTGGTTGCGTCTGAGACTAAAATTCTGCTGGAGAATTAGGCTAACAAAGGGTGAAGGTGAAGATCATGAGAGGTTTTAGAGCTGGCTGAGACGGGCTGGTTGGGTTGTGTAACTGTGCCTAGAGGGCGGGGTTCCTGTACATTCCTACTTCACCAGATAACCTGCCCCTCAACACCACTCCAGCTTCTGCCAGAAGGATGGGACTCTCCAACGTGAAAATCTGGGCAGCCATTCCAACAAACAGGGTAGGTGAAACTGGAAGTAGAATTCTCTCCTCTTTATGTTTCTACTCAAGGCCAGATCCTAGAGATATGGAAAGAATAGAGGCCATCTAGATTCTCTTTCGTGCCAACACGCATTCCTCCCAAGAGCTACCTACCTGTAAGAGCTAAAAGGCCCCACAGATCTTTCAGTTAGTACTTCATCCTCACGTTTTCCGTGCGCTTTTTAGGAAGGGTTTCTTTTCTTCATCCCTATCATCCGTCTTTCCTCTACTTCCACGACCCCTCCCCCAACGCCAGCCGCCTCTTACTTTCAGACTCCAAAGTGACGCTTTCCGCTCTAGCGGCCAGTTCCTGGGGACCTGGTCTTGATGTCTTAGGCCAAGGGGGCTCGAGGCCATCGAAGATATGATATAGTGTTACATTTTGTGTTTCCCTTTCTCTCTTCCGATTTCTACCTATTTTTTTTTCCCCCTCCGCCCAGGGCTCTGGCCGAGGTTGTTGTCCGCTGGAAGCCGAGAAAAAGCTCTTGAGAATTGGGAGCGCTCATCCTCCGAGATGGGTAAGTGGATGAGGTCTTCGACCCGGGCAGGTTGTGTGGGGAATGAGTCCTACCTACTGCTTTTGAACGCGCTTTAAACGCGACGTGGAATTCCTGCACTTACTAAGTCTGGTTTTCTTGGAAAATGTGCTTAGCGAGTGGGCTACCAACAGACATAGGTGAGAGAATGCATGATTCTTTCACGTTGATAGAAATCCCGGTGGATCCCCAAGTAAAGAAGATGTGGACATGGCAAAGGGGGAGGGAGGGTGAAGAGAAAACAAGACCAAGTTCTTACGGAGAAGGAAGTGGAAGTCTAAAATAGGTCCTAAAGAGCAAAGTGATTCGTTTCGTGGAAATATGATTTCTGAGTCTTAGGGTTTCTGCGAGAAATACAGGACTTTATTAACGTTCACATCCGGAACGATTTGCTCACCCCATTTGAGATAAAGTTCTTTGCTTCAGAGTTAAGAACTTCCCTCTGCAAAATTTTTCTCTTTTCTTTTCTTTTTTCTTTTTCTCCATTTTCACACCGACATCGCCAGTCTCCCTGCGAGCCAGACCCCCGTCCCCAGTGCTGGGCCTGGGTCCGGCGAGGGTCCCTGCGAGATTTAACCGGGCCGCACCAGGTCCAGTGCAGCGCGGGTCGAATTTGGGAGATTTCTCTGAGTCTTCGAAAGACCAGGGAAATGAACACCGTTCTGGGCTTCCTTTTGTCCCTGCTGGGAATATCTCAGTTCCTGGCTTTGGAACTATCAGGCAAATAATTGATTCTTAATGCACACTTAGGAGACGGCGGAGTACGCTCGAGAGGCTGCCCGTCCCAGGGTGGCTGCGAGCGCGCCCCAGGCGCGGGCTGGCTCTGCCGCAGCGAACTCGGGGTCCTTGCTGCGGTGTCCACTTGGCCTTGCCGCGCTTCAGGGGCTTGGAAGTGAAGTCGGGGAGCGGGTGCCACGGCGGGACTGGAAATCGTGCGGCACCAAGCCGGCGGCGTTGTTTTCTTGGGGTTTGGACTGTAGGAGAGAAATTAGGCTGCACGCGGCGGCGGGTGCGGAGGACCCGGCTGTCCGGCCCGCGCGGCCACGGTTCCGCCGAGGCCGAGCCCGGAGCTGCGCACGGAGCAGCAACGCGAGGGCGCTCTTGCCCAGGACAAGCGGAGCTCCGCGCTGCAGCTCGCCTTGGCAGCCGCCGGAAAAACCGACTCCAGAACCTAGGCGGGCGCGCGTCTTTACCTTTTTTCTTTCTTCTTAGCCTTCTGTGCTTCCCCGCCCCCTTTTCCCTCTGAAAGTTGTTTCTTTTGTTTACCCGGTGCAGTTTCAGATTCCAGCACTCTTCTGCCAGCTGATAAAACTGTTCTCTTTACCATAGAAATCATGTCTGCGTTCCACTGCCTGGCAATTTCTACCCCATTTTGCTTCCCTGCCCGCGCCTGTGGTCTAAGACTTGGAGTCCCAGGAAAAGAGGTAGCCTAGGGGTACGAACTCCCAGCACCGAGAGGAGCCTGGGTTTGGGGGAGACAAAGGCCGGGGTTCGAGTGGAAGGGTTACCCCTTGCCAGCGGGAAATTCTCTGGCGCTTACTTTCGGCCTTGGAGACTGGAAAGAAAGGAGGACGCGGAATCGAGCTGGGTGCTTCCGACTCCCCTCGACCGCCCTTCCTCCGCCAGTCCAAGCCCTCCTCGCCCGTCCGCCTACAAAGCTGCAGGTCTGAAGAAATCGTGACACTGTGGCGAGAAAGGGTACTGAAAATCATAGCAAATAACCATCGTAGTTAAGGTTGTGAAGGTCTTTCTTGGCCTGTAGTGTAATACATACGGTCCATTCCACGTCTTTTGGCTTTGTGGGAAAGCCGCATGGGAGAAAAGTGACTGGCACTTTGTCGGAGGTTTGGAGACGTAGCTCAGCAGGAAAGGCTGCGGTCCGTTGCCATAAATGTTTGGATATTTATTTTCGGCTTTATTTGAAATTTCCGGCCTCACTAGCACTTCCTGAATTAGAGTCGTGGTCTTCAGTTTTAGTCCCTTTCTTCCTCTCTCCTATTGTGTCATCCTTTGAATCAGTGCGTTTAAGAAGCAAACATAGCTTCATAGGTGGTTTGGATTCTTTTGATCGAAAAGGAAGACTAAAAACTGTAATGGGGTTAGGGAGGGTTGTCTCTCCGTTCTTTCATTTTCTCATTGCTCTGAAATTTAATGACCTGGACATTGTTGTTTGAAGTTAAATTATCTGTTAAATTAGCCTTAAATAATAACTGATGATATTTTCCTTTTGGGTCTGGTTGCCCCTGAATTATTGGCCCTGGATGGGAAAGAAAGGAGTTAAGGAGAATGCTTCGTCATGCAATGTCATAAAGATAACAAAATCAATATTTATATGTAGCAATACTGCATAGAAAAAAGTCACTTTCAAAGTAGCTGAGTTTCCATAAGTAGGAAATTCTCTTAAAGGTTTCTGTTTGAGAAACCTAGACCTAAATATATGTAAATAAACATCTCAGTTGATGAAGAAAGAATCATAAGCAACATCTTCATTATTCTTCAGAACTCAAATACTCAAACTCAACACATACCGTGCCAAATCAATTCTGCTCTCTGGGATATTTTTGAAAAGAAAATTTACATTTTGTAAAATCCGCAACATTGTTTTATATGTGAATTTCCAATCCACTGTATATTTGTCTCTTTGAGTCAGACACTGTTTTGCAGTCCTTATATGAAACAGTTTTGGAATCATGCAGACCCCCCCCACACACACACACCGCTTGTTTCATGATGCTTCCACACTGAGGCATAGGTGAGAGAGCTTTCATGGTAGATCGAGGAAATGACATCTTTCTCATTTATCTTAACAAAAGGCCCAAAGAATCTTTAAATCAAAAGGTACTACAGTAGTTGAGGAAAAATTCTTTTAAAATAATGAACACTATTGTATTTTTCCTATTAAAATATGCTGAATGAGTAATTAGAGGCTGACATGAAGGTTGAAAAATTCCAAGCAAGAATAAAGTGGTAATTTTATTATTTGATTCTTTAAAGTTTCTATAATTAATGATGTAGTTTCAAAGGTTAGCAAAGCTTTCTTTAAAAAATAAGTACTCCTCCCATCCCATCCAAAAAAAAAAAAAAACCCTAGAAAACAATAAAGTAGAATCATGTGAGACTGGCAGGAGATATTGTTTATTTATTTGTCTATTTTTTCCAGTAGTGGTAGTATTAGTGGAGTTGAAAAATATACTTTAATTATACATTGCAAGCTCTGATTGCAGGTTGGAAGACCAAAATCGATCATTCCTACATCAATAATGTTGTCTATTACTACATTGATTTGTGTTTATTTATGCAAAGGCTTTTAGTTATTTACTTACATATTTCAGCATCTGCCTCTTGATTATTATCGCAGGTTGGTTTTAATGAAGGAGCTTATATAGGAAGCGAGACACACTTGACAGATCCATTTTAAGTAAACCTGATAGTGAATTATAGCAACCCTACAAGTTTACAAAATTACTTATTCATACTTGCTTTTCAGCAATTAGGAAACTGTTTCTGATTAAAATCTCTTGCTGCTTGAAAACCCCCATTCTTTTCTTTCTACATTGTATTTATGTATTTCAATTAAATAGCAAACCATGTTTTTTTTGTTAGATGTAATAGAATGAAACTGATGAAACTTATCTTTCTCAGTTGGGATAACTAGGTTACTCTCATAACAGTAAGCAACCATTGGGTTTGCTAAGGCTGCTGATGAAAAATCAAGGAGCAATCATTTATATATAGATATGAGGTATTTGTTTTAAAACACCTGTTAACTCTAAACTATACCATGGTACTTAGGCTGAACAAGACATTCTGGAGTGTTTGAGCATTATTAAGTGCATGAATGCACTCATATATTAGTGTATAGATGCAATCATATCTTACAAAGATAGGTATCTCTCTTCAACTAATGCCTCATATGAATATTATGTGCCAGGACTCATTCAAACAAATAGGAAAACCAAAGACCATACAGTGTACCCTGTATAACAACAGGGCAATAGTGGAAGATTGATACCCACTCATGCTTCTGCTTCCCTTACTGCCATTCCAAAAAATTGACAGATTACTTGAAAATTGAAAACAAACAGACAAACAAATAAACAAAAACCAGTAACTTATCTAGAACTACTTAATCCTCTCTGTATTGGACTTTTCTCAAATTCTTCCATGTTAGTACTTTGGAATACAAGTATCAAATATTGTATGTTTCAAGATCCTATTCATTGTTTCCTGACGCCCCTCCCCCCTCCAGTTGTTGCAAGAAATATAGAAAGAAACTTAACTAAATTCTTTTTGAGTACGAAAGGATCTAAATTCTTTTTGAGAAAGGAGATGGAAAAGTAATTAATCTCCTCACCCTGTAAGAGTTTTTCTGAAACTAATCATTGTTAGCGTCCTGGCTGTGAGCTGTGAGAGGTGAGGTTTCAGGTCCAAGGCTGGGGGCAGAAAGAAGGTGGGCGATTCGAGACCTGGGACCTAAAGTTTTGCAAGAAGTTGAAAGGAGGAACAGAGGGAGAGTTTCCAGTTGCCTTTATTTGTTTTATTTTTCCATGCTGTGTCAAGTGCTTACGTTCACTTAGGGAGATGGCCCCTATAGGACCAAGCACTCTTGGCATTCTGTGGAGATGGAGATTCCAGAGCATAGCATGGACAGGACTCGAGGCACAGAGCACACACCCACCCGTCCTCCTCTTTCTAAGCACCCACCAGCTCGTCCTCACGTGCGCCAGAGTAGTGGACAGTGTTGATTTGAATTGCTCGCCCTCGCTCCAAGCCCTTCCTGTGAATGAACCCGAAAACACTCGACAGGTCGTGAATAATCGTTTTAATGAGTGTGCAAAGCGTGCGACGGGGTGCACCGAGCTGTCGGGTTAAACAAACAACTTGTACCCAGACCAAATGCGATTGTTAAAGTGCAAAGTGATGTCAGTACCATTTCCATTGCCTTTCGAAAATCCACAGATCTGACACGCGGGAGTCCAATTTTCCCCATTAAAGAAAAATAACAATATTTTTCAACCGTGTGTGTGATCTTCTTTAATATTAGTGTGAGCCAAACAAAACCCCATTTGGGAACCAGAGAATTAGTCCTGTCTGTCTCAAAAAAGAAATAAAAAAGATAAACATGAGGAAGAAATCATAAAAAATATAAAAGTCTGAGGAACAATTTCTTTTTGATAATTAGCACATCATTGATGATCAATATGGTGAAAAAACTACCATTATCTATGTGTTTATAGCTCACTAGTGGCAAATATCTAGCTATGTATAGCTAAACAACTGGCTTAGTTATTTAGTCTTGTACTAGGGCCAAATCTGTAGATCTCTAGGACATTTTTTTTGGAAAATTAATTCAAATATTTAATGTTTATATGTTAGCCTGCAAGGGAATGAAGGGATAAATCAGCCCCACATTTACGCTTTCAAGGCAAACAGTTTAGGGGAAAGTAATGAGAAAGGAACCCTGATGGGCCACCATCTAAAATGATAGCAAAAACTGTAAGTGAGCTTTCCAGGAATCACATCCTATCCCTTTTTTGGACAATTCCACTGGAAGAAAATTTTATCCCATTGTGTAAAAATATCTAGTTGAAATAAGTCACATGTGCTTCCACCTTTGTTCATTCATTTATCTTTTTTACAATTCCAAACATTAAACATAAAGAACAAGAAAGTAAAGCTTCAAAAGATAAGAAAAGCACACCTTTGACTAGTAAAATAATGTGGAGGAAAGAAGTGTGTCAAACGTTTCCCCTGTCAGCACCTTAATACAGTCCCATATCAAACAAAATAGCAACAATGTTTAGAAATCAATGTATTAATACCACATATCCAGCTTCTTCAACTCAATAGCACCATAGCCAGACTAAGTTTGGTATTTTTATTAGAATAAATTGATACAGTTTCTTTATCAAGGACAGAAAATATATAATGTCTTACACTTTGCAAGATTATTTGTCCTCTTAAAATTGTAGTTAGTTTGAAGGCACAAAATGTAGGGTTACAGTACAACTGAATATGGAAGCTCAACATTTGCTCACCTGACTCCTATTGGGCATATTGTTATTAACATATCTTATATGGCTGTCTTTCTAACCATTTATTTCACTCATGAATATATCTACATATAACCAATCACAGTTAAGTGAATTAATTCACCTAAAACATACAGCTGAGTTGTTTGATAGAGTAAACAATTCCTTATGGAAGTCATTGTATTGTTATTATGTTTGTGTCATTATGGTCCCAATTGGATAAAATAGAAGATATAGAAACTCTGTCTCCATTATCAAAATTTGGAAAAGACAACCAGGGGTCCAGGGCAATGTTTTTGTTGATTTTGACTGTTACCTAGTGGATGTTTGTATCAGAATATCAATCGACAACAACCTTTATTTTCTAGGATATTTGACGAAACGATGATGATTATTAAAAACTAGAAACATGAATTCTGTAATTATTTTAAATATTTCCAGGCATAAAACAGTCTGTAATTATTACCTAAACAGATTTCCTCTCTGTGGGCTGATTTGAAGGATTTAAGGAATCACTGAAAGAGCTGCATCCATTTCTGTTTTAGATGCACAAACAGCAAAGCTGAGGGTGCCTCTGTTTTTGTGTGTATATATGTAGTTAAAGAACTACACTATCAAAACATTAATTATATTTGAAAGAGAGCAGAGAGCTTGTTGTGGAGAGAATTGCATTATTGAATTTATATTCCATGAAATCTGTCTGAGAGAGATGAAATTGTATACCTGTCTTACGTGATGCAACCTTTTCAGAGAGGTGCCTAACAAGAGTAAAGAAATGAAGGAGGCCGGCTTGGAGGGGAGTGATCTTAGATGCTAGGCTAGTCTGGAGCACAGGGAATCCATGTGAAAATGCAAATAACATGAAAAGCTCGCACAAGATCTTTGTTCACTGTCAACAGAAACAAATGGATTTTTTCCCTCTCTACCAAGCAAATCACAGTGTGTTCGTAGCTGAATTTGGGGGAGGGAGAGTGATTGAGACACTAAAAAAAAAATTCAGTTATCATATTTTTGATCCCAAGTCCATTTTATTTTATAGCTGCCAAATTTTATATACAACATTTAGATTCTCTTCCTCTAAAATATTCCATCAGTATGAATCATCCCTGATCATTTCTAGTTTTTGGCTTAATTACTAGTTTTCAGCTTTAAATTACCAATAAACTAATTAATCTGACTAATCTTCCTAAACTTCTGTTGAATAGTATAATAGCTGCAGCAACAACAAAAATAAAATAACAAAAACTGCATCAATGATGACAGAATTAAACTGTTAATAATAATAATGCAAGTAATGATAGCATGAACAATCTTAAAATATTTCTCTGGCCAACAGGATGAAGACGGAGTTCACTTCAGTCTGAAATTTGTTTCCTGGAGGCAGTAGAGCATTCCTCTGATTTCTTGTTTCACTGATTTAATGGATGATCCCTTCCAGCCCAATTCAAGTTTCCAAATACAGACTCCATTGGTCTAATATGGTAGGTCTTTTTACTGGCACTGGGTACTTTTGTACCCAATCCCCTTCTTTGTGATGGACGTGTTCCCCTGAAGATGTCATTCCCAAAGAAATGAACCTGGGAAGGAAACTGGAAAAATAGTAACGTGTGAAAGAATTATTGTGTGGAGGGAGGGGGTGCCTTCTGGCTGGAGCTCTTTTGGTGCATAGGCCAGTTATAACTGGAAAGCGTTCACAAAGCTGAGCAGGATGAAGAGGACAGAGTTACTGAGGTTCCAGTGAGTCCAAAGAGATCCCTGATCTTGACTAACCTAGCCCACAGGAGAAGACACAAAAATCAGGGATTAGGATCCCCAGGATAACTCTTTTGACTCCTGTAGGGGTGGGGTGATGGTGGTGGTGTGTGTGTGTGTGTAAAGAAGACAATGAAGTGAAGAGAGTAGAATTAGAGGAGGGAGAATGGTATAAAGATATCAGTAAGCAGTAGTGGTCTAGCAAGCAAGGCAAAGTTCATGTCTTCAAGAAAAGTAAGAGATGCTTTCCTGAATTGTAAGCCTGCCAAGAATTATTATTCTAGGTGAAAGAACAGCCACTACTTCCTGGGACTGGACTGGAAAGAATCTGTCAGTGAGTCTGTATCTGCAATAACCCAACTTTCTTCTCACCCAATGTTCTTCCCATCTCCTGAAACCCCGCCCCCTGTATTTCTTCTCCCTCCCCCAAAGGAAAAGTAATGAAATTAAAAGAAGGGGTGGGAGGGAATTAGACTCAATATTTATCAGACAAATGTAAGAGTTGGCATAGGTCGTTTGATAATTGCCATCATTCATGAGACTGAAAAGAAATCTGGTTAGGAAAGGAAGCGAAGTTATGGGACAGGAGATCAGAGACATGGTAGTCCAGTTGCTTAGGCCAAATGGAGAAGAATCTTAGCAAGAGAACAGTTTTGGATGCAGGGAGGATAGCCATTGAATATAATTTTTTCCTTCTCTTTTTTCTATACATCAGTGTGGTCCTGAAAATGTATGAGAAAGCACAATCTGCAGATCTTAAAAATTACAAAAAGAAAAGCATATATCAATGGTCAATTTGTTCTTTAGAACACTTTCTAAAAAAACTATCATCTCCAAACTTACGAGTACACACAGTTCATACCATGAAACCAGAGGGTAGCTGAAGGAAGAAAGGGAGAGGAAACAAGGCATGCAGCTTCCCTGATTTACTGCCATTGCATCTTTTCTCCTGTCAGGGCAGGGATCCTGAACATTCCTATTTATTCTTACAAAGTTTGAAAAACTCCAGTTCATGAAAATATTAGTTTACTAAGGATTAGCAAAAAAAAAAGAGCTTTTATTTCTGAGAATAAATTCACTGAAGTGATGTTTAGTCTTAACTGGCTTTTCTCAGTCCACAAACACTAGGCTTTCTCTTTGGGGGCAGGGTTAAGAATGCTTACCAAATTCACTCAACCTTCTCCCAAGTATAGTTCAGAAATTAAACTGGAGCTTTCCACATACAATGTAAAGCAATGTAATTGAATTTAAATAGTATTTTAGAGAGATATTAAAATTTGCTGGGATTTTTTCCTTATTTGTTTGAATTGTTCTTTTGATTAAGAAGCACACTACCATTTTCCATAGGAAAATTAGAAGAATTCATCATTGCCAGTAAAAGTGACCCTCCTTCCGTTACATGCACTGTTGAATTTATTTTCTAACAATTTGATTTTAACTGTGTATGAATGAAAATTTCTTGATCAATAGAGAGATGTATGGGGCCAAAATGTGTATGCCTAAAAGAAACTAAGTTTCATATGCTCGTAATGGGGGTATTTGGTGGACAGTAAAGCAACAAGGAAAGCAGTTATTTCACAAAGTAGTGAGTCATGCAGACACTCATGTGCATGCAGTTTTCCCCCATTTAACAAAATTAATAGGCTCCCATAGCCCAATATCTTAATAAATCTTTAGCCAATGTAAACTAGATATGTAAATGCTTATGCATACATAGTATATACACTATGTTGCATATGGTTCAAATATTGTACTTATTTTTGCAGAAACAAAAAGCTAAACAAATACAGTATTAGCATTTCTTTCTTTGTAATCATAAAGCAAAATTTATTTGTAATCTGTAAGTAGTAGAGGAAAGCCAGAGTCACTATACTCTGTATAGATTGCATTACAAAGCAAATATAGATTTTCTTTCTGTATTAGGATGTGCAAGAGTATGGAATTCAGGGTTGAATGGAATTAAGATCTATATACATTTTCACCAAGCCAAGATAAAGGAATTTCATTCTTTAAACATTCACATTCTACTATAAAAACAGGAGAGGTAAGTCCAAGTCAAGATATGACACTGGGAATGTTTTCAAATGATGGTCACTAATATTCTTTTCAACAAAGAATTTTTCATGGCAGATAGAATCAGATCTGATATACAATTGGCAAAGCAAAATATTTTAGTAATGGGCTGGGGAGGGGTAATGAATTGGCACTTTGAATATTTGTGAAGAATAATATTTTTTTTGAATAGACCTGTGTGATGATCTCTTATGCTTCTTAAAAAGAAGGGGAATTGGAGCTGTATATATCCAAGTGTTTTAGCTATCACTAATGGTGAAAGGATATAATCTGAGTAGGAAAGGTTTTTATAATCCGAGAAGATGTACAAAAGTGTCTTGGTGCTACCAAGTTTATTCTCCTTTATATATGCATTCCCAAAACACATTTGCTACTAGGCTCTCATTTTCAGTTCAGGCTTCACATAGAGCAGCCAGCTTGCAGTAAAGGTGGTTCAGTGTAGCGATCCAGTTTTAAAAGTAAAATAATTGACACCAAAAATAAAGTTATACTCTTATGAACGAGATTCTCATTGGCAGACAAAGATTGGGGGGGGGCTCCAAAATAGGGTGGTGGGGGGAAACAATACTCTTTAGGTGAGTTTTGGGAAGATGCTAACATGCTGTTGAGAGATTGGGATTAATCGAGCAGTTTAAATACAAATCTGCCGGAAATCATGCTCTGTGGGAATGAAAATGAAGGAATTTATGCATATTCTAATTTTCCCTCTTTGGCTGCTATTTTAGAGGAAGAGCCTTCTTTTGCTGATGGTAGGCTTTTTTGTTCTGCACAGGAAATGTGTAAATGAACACAATTTTTTCCCCCCTTTTCCATTTCTCTCCTCCATTCCCTCCTCCCCCTGTGAAGAATCCTGAACTGTTGGGTACTTAGTTCTGCAGCCTGGGCTTCCGGGGCTTCTCCCAAGTCTAGGGTGGTAAAGAGGGCAGGCCTCCAGGACAGGGGAATTAGGACTCCTCTGAATCACCAGCCTTTTGCAAAGTAATGTAGAGTTGGTGTTCCAACCGCGGACACCCAAAAGGGCCGAGGATGAGGAGTCCTAAATCGGACACGGTGAGAAATCACCTGAGAAGTCATTTCCCCTTACAAGGGAATTCTCAGTTGGCCTGGGCTGAGGACAGTTTAAAAGCGATTTTATAAACCGTGAGTGAAGATCCGCTGACCCTTAGCGCCAAGTCAAAACACTTCCCCTCCCCAGCCTTCGGGAGCGGGAGTGGGGAGAGGCGAGTAAGGACGGTGACTGAATTCTACTAAGACCAGCGAGACTCTCCAGCTCTGCTCGGAGACACCTAGCGCTGGGGTCGTTCCGGGCTTTGTGGGTTACCTAGGGCTCCGCCCCCCGAGATGTGCTAGTAAAGTGTGTGGGATGGAGAGGTGGGCAGAGAAGACTCTGCGGGGAGAGGAAGGGAGAGCGAGCAAGGGGCCGCAGGAGGAGAGAGAGGCGCTCCTTCCTCTGGCCGCGTCGGCGGGGCCGGCTTCAAGATTCACAATTAGGCCGGGGCGGGGCGAGGGCAGCCTCCGACAGACTGCAGTTTCTGTCTTCTTTTCTACACCCGCGATGGGGGAAGAACGGAGACAACACCAGTGCTAACAATTTAGTTTGCAAAGAGCCTCGTGGCCGGTGCCGCCCTGGCTGGGCTTGGGCTGGGAGCAGAGCTGGTCCTCGCGGTCCCCGCGCAGCCCCGCCTTCGTGGAAGGGGCCCGGAGACAGCGCCTGCTCCCCGCGCGCTCCCGGGCCCAGGTGAGGCGAGGCGAGGCCCAGGGCCCGCGGTCCGAGGCCCGGGGTCCACACCCGGGCCGCCCGCACCCGCTCCTGCACGCGCCGACCCTGCCCTGCAGACCGCACGGCCCGCCGAGTTGTTCCTCTTCGGGAAAACTGGAAGATCCCTATTTTTCTCAGTTTTAAAAAAAAAAAAATTAGTACACGTTTGCAGTACACAATGATCATATTCATATTGGGGAGTTGGCACCAGTACAGAGCACATCGTAATTCTTTTCCCTTCCCTTTCTCCTCCCTCCCTCCCTTCATCTCTGGATTCTTCTCCCATTTGCAAAAAAGATCTAGCTCCCTGTTTCCTATTGTCTAGCTTTTATTTTGCTCTTTGAATTATTTCTGCATTGGGTTTCTCTTATTTTCCAAAAACTCCGCTGTAGTGGGGTGCGGCCTCCTGGTGGGGGACACAGCTGAGAGGGCCCCTGGGGTCTGGGTTCGAAGTAACACTCCGCCTGGGGACAGGCCTCCCTCCGCATTCCCGCCCTGCACTTCTGGTCCTCCTCCCCGGTGCGCCGTGGTCCTACACTGGGCGCCCGGTGCTCCCCGGGACAGTTCCACACAGTCACGTGGACCGGGGCTAGCGTGGCAGCTCTCTCCTGCATCTTCCGGGTGGCTGTCGGGCTGCTGGGTCTTCACTTGTTCTCGCCACTTCTCTTTAATTGGGTTTTCTTTTATGTCTTCACTTCTCTATATTTGAGGCTGAAGGGGGTCAGAGGTGGAGAACGGACTCAGAAAACAGGGTGTTTTTTTTGTTTTTTTTTTTGGTTTTTTTGGGTCTTTTTAGATGCGCCTCTTCTGGCACAAATTCATGCCAGGCGCTGAGCCATAAGTCTCTTTCCCCCAGGGCCTAGGCCCATGTCTATCCTTTACAAACGTCCATAAATGTGGAAACGACTCGGGTATCAAGGCTGTCCCATGGGCACGTGGCGCTTAGGGTTAGCGGGTATCCTCAAATCAACTGAGTTTGCTGGCATTTTATTGAATTCATTTGAGAAGTTGATAAATAAATGCTTTTGTTTTTACAGGCACTTTGGTGGTACTTATTTAGAGACTTCCCAAATGGGTGAGAAAGGTCCCTAAGTATTGTTGAAAATATTTTCTTGAACTTTTTGATATATGTGTGAGGTGAAATGCGAGTGAATTTTAGGATTTGAGAATTAACTTTTCCTTTACATTTTGCTTTCTTTTAAAAGCATTTTACTTTCCCTGGTAAAAGGTCAAGGCCATATGGAACGAAATTAATCTCCTGTAACCAATTCGAAGCAAAAACTAAAAAAATTACTTTTTTGCTTTTCGGGAGCTATGTTATAATTTAACCCTTGCCCACGACAATCTACTTCTATGTTGTCCTCTGCACCACTCAGCAGTTTTTATTCTTTATAATAACTTATGTTTTTATACGCCATATGAACTTTTTGTAACCAGGAGAGAAATTTTAGGGGGGTGAAATTTTAAGGCAGATTTCTGTCCCTCCATACATATTAAATGCATATTCTACTTAGCCCCACTTGGTTAGCTCATGGACTATTCCCTGCAGCATTTTGTACCCCGGTTTCATTGATTCATGTGAAATAGTGAAATCATATAACCAATGAGCTAATGACCATGAAAGTAATTTGAAATGTTATAATTGCTAATCAAATGTAAAGCATATTTATTAGCATCATTATTAAAAGGTGCCAGAGGGATACAAATAAAGCCTATTCCTCTCCTCTGGGAACTTACAATCTAGTTGGGCATCAATAATGAAATGTAAATTGATAGAAGCAGGTCCTAAGCAATGCTCAGTGTCTGGCATATTGGAAACATTCAGTAGATGATTGCCTCACATTAATTTACAGTCATGTCTCACTCTTTTAACAAAAATATAATACTAGTAAGTAAAGAAGGCTTAATTAGGAACACTTTCATGGAAGAAATGAATTTGTCCTTTACATGTCACATATGAAGATTGGAATGTGAAAGTTGTTCGTGTGCAAGGGGTAAAGATGGAGAAAGTGGAGGGTGAAAAAGATATTTGATGAGTGGGAATTTGGTGACAATTTCTAGGAAACCTTAGACCATGCATAGGAGTTTGTGTTTGATAGAAATGGTGACAGAAAGCTATGGTCCTCCTATGAGTCCAGAATGGCATGATTAAAATGGGAATTAGTTTTTTAAATGATTCTGGCTAGCTACCGAGGATAGGGAAAATTGAAGGAGAAAGAATAGGAGAAAAGATTTCAGTGCAGTTCTGAATGCGGTGCTGTTAGAGAGCAGCTGTATTTAAAGTCATCATCGGGTCCCTTTACACAATTTGTACACAGTGCAAATTACATTGAAATGATGAAATCAGGAAAAAGTGTTGGAAGAACAAGAGCCACAACAGCACTGGACTAGGGTTTACCCCTTATTCTTCTTTATTGATAGTGATAGGGGATGTCAGATATTGACAGCTGGTGACTAACTTTAAGATGTCTCCGTGACCAGTCTAAGATTTTTTTTTTTTTGCACTTAGTACTTCTACTCATAATAACTTGTGGTGGTTTTCAACTGGGGATAATTTCCCTCTTCCAACCCAACCTTTTTGGACAATATATGCAAAAATTTCTAGCTATAGCAAGTGTTGGACTACTATCGCCATCCAGTAGGTAGAAGTTGGGGATACTGCTGAACACCTTATAATTCACAGGCTAGCGCCGCACCTTCAAATTACCCTGTCCAAAATGTCAATAGTGTTGAGGTTGAAATCCCTTCAGTTATGAGAGTGAAGTATGATCTCTAACTCTGGAGAGCTACACTATGAGTCAACTATTGATGTAATTTCTATTACATCAATAATTTAAATTGAAAAAATTGTTTTGCTTAATGATTCAAATATAACATTAAAAATTATTAGCCTGGGGCCATGGGAACAGGAAAAATCAGAAGGATACCTATTTGGATGTTCTGCTTCTTAAAAAGTGGAATTAGAAATCATCCTTTAGGATTTGTCAACTAAATGTTATTTATTAAATTAATAAAATGTGCCTTTGGAGTTGCTTAGCAACTTATGGAAAGCTTTCTAAAAGTTCATTTGTTTGTTTAAAACCAGGGTAGGTTTCACATTATTAGCTACATTACATAAATCAACAAAGAAATATACACTGAAAATGGAATAAGAGGTTTCAACACATTTTCTGCTCCTGTGTCTGGCAATTAAAACATCCTAATTGTCTGGTAGAATTGAATCAAGTATTTGACAAACATTATTTATGTATGAAACTTCAACATAATATTGAGTACGTAAGAGAATCAAAGGGGAAAAATTAAGCAGGTTTGTCATAAAGTATATGTTTATCTTAACCTTTCTTCTTCAAAAATTTTACCTACTAAGTACTTTTATCAGACACTAATTATACTCTTTCTGAAAAGAATTTCTCCAACACCCTTCAGTGCCTACACCCTTTAATCATATCTCATTACATCTACCTAATCCATATCTCTTTCACATTGCCAGGGCTCATTAACAGTTTTAAAAGCCAATCTTGGACATTATCATTCCTTGTAATCGAAATGAAAATAATGCCAGTAATATTCTGTTTCTAAAATGTAATGGATGATTTAAATTTTGTTCTAAAGCCATTTTTCCTTAAATGTTAGTGAGAAATTAACTTTCAAACATGCATTAAGCAAGCAGGACTGGTGGGATGTTTCTGAAACCCCCGAAGCACCTTCTCAAAGAAGTTATTTTTACAAGCTGTTTTACCAGTGGATCATCAGTCACTTTGAAGGGAAGTGATCCTTGATTAAGAGTTGGCTAATACTGTGCTTCCACAGATGTGTGGCAGAGATACAGGTGCTACCTACTAAACAGCATAGATAATTTTTAGCATGTTTTTCACATAGAAAAATGTAAAAGGAATGGGTCCTCACCTTTGGGTATTACCTCACTGGATTATTATAGACAAAACAAGCCAAACGTCCCAGTCCCACTCAAATAATGAACTATATAGTTACCATATTTTCCATAGCTTTAAAGAAAAAGATGGTAAGTTTGATTCGTACTTTATTTGTTTTGATTTATTTTTTGTTTTTAGAAGACAAAATTCCTATCAAATTTGCAGTAACAACTCAGGATTACAACTTCTTAGGTCTTGAAAGTCAAATTCTGTCTCTCAGAGCACACAGGACTTTGTCTAAGTATTGTCTGAAATGGAAGCTTCCCTCACTATAGTAACCCAAGTTTATGACTATTTCTTGAACTCAATTGTTTTTTTTAAGAGGAGGTCCTAAGCAAAGTTTAATGGTTCATTTACTATTAGCCCCAACTATTAAGATACTATTTTAAAGAAAAACACTAACCAAGAGTCATTGTCCAAAAGTGCAGCTTTTGGACCAGTAAGCACCCTGAGCTGTCATTCAGAAGTAGTGAAGACATAATGAAGTTTTCATTCCTCTTTAATTTTTATCCATACAACAGTTCTGTTAGATAGGAATTATCTCTTATTATGGGTGTTTTATTAAATTTGTCTTCAGTTTTTCTTTGGAATATATGTATTTTTCTTTTAGAGTTTTATATTTATTTTGTGCTCCTCCATTAATATGCTTCAATTTATTGTTGATTATTGGAAATTCTTATTAAGCAAAATTAAATAGCACCATATGCTAATTGATACGTTTGGTTTGGTGTGTCTTATCATTTACAGTTGCACAATTGCTAGGAATTGAATAGAGTAGGATTGTTAAAGATACGTACCATAGTTTTTCTCCAAATCACTCTTTTGGCATTTTTTCTTTTTAAATTCTTTTAATTTCTTTAATCAACAGCTTTGGCAAAGAGTAACTGTACATATGCTGAAGTATACACAACAAGTTGTTCATATGTTTTCTTTATTTTGCTTTTCTTTTTGTGATGTTGGTGACTAAATGCCAGAAACATTAAGCCATATACATCCTTAGCCCTTTTTATTTCATTTTGAGACACAGTCTTGCCAGATTGCCCAGGCTGGCCTCAAACTTTCGATCCTCTTACCTCATTCTCCCACGAAGCTAGAATTACAGTTAGCTGTGGTCCACCACACTTGGCTCTCCTGGATCATATGTGGTTGGTTTGTTTTTTATTTTCTTTTACTTAAGTAGTTTGAATATTCTTACCAACATTTTACAGTGACATCAAATATCGCATATTTTAATGGAATTTCTGTCATTTATTATCAGTTAAATTAATTCTACTAATAAAACCCAAAATTTCGTAAAGTTAGCAACGTAGCAAAATACCACAATTTAAAATATTATAAATGTATTATTAATGCATTTTAAAGTTGCTTTTATAATCTTATTTTTATCTTCATGTCTCCTTTCTCTTATTAGGAAAAGTCACCTTTCCCTATTGGTCATCTGTTTTCTTCTTCTCTTTGTGTTGCTATTTTCAGAGGTTTACTCATTGATCAGTACAGTGAAGGTTGACATGAACATCCACTTTGCATCAAAGGATATCCACGAATTGGTGTGCTGATGGCAAACAGAAGTTTCCAAGCAAGATGGAACCTGGGAGGAACAATACTCCCCCAGTGCTCATGATGTGTCTCCAGAAAAAATTGTTTAACCATTCTTTAAAAGAAAATTCTTCCCCCTACAGTATCTTCCAGACTCTAAACTACAGTATAAGTTCACAGGTTCACTCAGATCACTTCCATGTCTGAGTTCTTGGTCATCTTCCCACACTTTGGCTCCACAGATAAAAAATAAATAATAATAAAGGAATAACTTTTTTGTTTTTGCCTCAGTAAATCATTTTAGTGTTGAAACACCCTGGTGGATTAATTAGGCTTATTCTTACATTTCCTACCCCCAAGCACTTGTGCAGTGTTCCTGTTGGCACTGGCCTCATTGGAAAGAGGAACACTTGCACTGCAGGCCTGGATGTTGCTCTTGAAGCCTATGATTCTGTGGTAGCATAAATCTAGAAAAAGCTTAGTTTTTTTTTCAATTGATGGGGCATAAGAGGAAACACAGAACCATCTCTCCCTTACATTTTATGCCAGCTTTCATTTATTCTGGGCCATACCTCTTTCCAGAGCAATGTTTCTTGCTTAGTATGAGATTTGGTACCATTATAAAGAGACATAGTACCTCTTGTAGGAGTTTAGAGAGTTTTATCCATGGAATCAGATGTGTCTCAAGATGATTAACTGAATCCTGTGAATATGCTGCCTCTAGCTCACTGCAAACAACTGCTATTTTTTATCCTTGGTCATTTCTCATAACAGGGAGGATTTTCAGTGTACATTATCTTATCCTGGAATTAATTGTTTCAGTTTTCATTGGTTGTTTTGGATTGTAATGAGAACAGTAGCAGCAAGAAATCTGAAAGAAAGTGCTTTTGTTTGTTAAACTTCAAGATCAATGCAAAGTAGATATGCACAAACATGTGCAAAGTTATATAAAAGAACAGATCAATTTCTCTGCAACAACATTTGACTTAAACTAACTGAAGGCATTAGCATATCCACAGAAAAATATTAGTCATAAACGCAGATAAAGGAAAGTATAAAATGATTTTAAAACAACACATTCAAATTTATTTTCGAGAAAAGGGAAAGAACTTCATTCCACTGGACTTCAATGCCAGTGACAGGGCCAATCCTATTGTGAATGAATATCCAGCAATTTAAACTTGATACTACCAACCATTCTATCTATAAAAATACCTTCAATCTGAATCCATGTTTTTTAAATATGCTGATTATTATTTCGCTCTCAAATTAGTTCTGCTCTTAGAAAACACACTAATTACAGACATTTCTATACTATTTATAATGGTAGTTACTTTAAAGTGAGCAATGTCCCAGGCTTAAATTGTTTATTATAAAGGAATAACTTAATTTCTGGTTCAAAACATTAGTGATTATCATGCAACTATGTTGGAAAGAAGGATAGCTTTTGGGCATGCCAATTAGAGTGACAATTTTCAGTAGGAGAGGCAGATTCAAGACTGTCGAGTCCAGCTCTTCCTTGTCAGTCTTTCCTGTGACATAAAAAAATCCATATATAACTATTTAATTCTAATTGTGGCAAGAAGTTAGTAGTTGAAGTAAATTACTATTGTTTAAACAGTAACTTTCCAACCTCAAATACTATCCACAATGCAATAACGTACACTTAGAATACAGGGATGGAGTCAAAAAAACCAAATGAATCCTGGGTTTACTACTTAGCTGTGAAATCATCGTAATTTTTAAAGGCATCAACTTTCTCTGCCTCATATTATTAAAACCCTCATATAGGAAATTAAGTGAGATGATTCACATAAAGTGCTTAGCACTATTCCCAGATTAAGAATGTCAATACAGTGAAACATCCTCTGGCTCCAGTTAAAATAGCTATTATCAAAAAGGACAAAAATAAGAAATGTTAGCAAGGATGCAGAGAAAGGAGAGATAACTCTAATACACTGTTGGTAGGAATGTAAATGAATATACCAGTTATAGAAAACAATATGGGGAGTCCTCAGAAACCAGGTATAGACTTGCCATATAATCCAGCAGTCCCATTACTGGATATACAGCCAAAGGAGCTAAAATCAATATATTGAAGAAATATTGGCACTTACATGTTCATTACAGCATTCTTCATAACTGCCAAGATGTGGAATCAACCTAACTGTCCACCAATGGATGAATGAATAAATAAAATGTCATATACATACATATGCAGAATGGAATAGTATTTATTCAGCCACAAAAAAATAATAAAATTCTTACATTTGTAGCAACATGGTTGCTATGCTAAGTGATATAAGTCAAGCACAGAAAGCCAATTCTACATGTATTCACTTACAAATTGAAGCTAAAAAGTCAATGTCATAGAAATAGAGAGTAGAATTTTACTTACCAGAGCCTCAGGAGGGTAGGTGGAGGGGGGATAGAGAGGTTACGGTTAGCAGATATGGGAGAGCAGTTGGATAGGAGGAACAACTTCTAATGTTCTATAGCATAGTAGGAAACTTGTGATTGAAAACAGTTAATTGCACGTTTCAAAATAGCTCCCAGAGAGGGTTTTTAATATTTGTAAAACAAAGAAATGATAAATTTTAAGGTTATAGATATGTCAGTTACCCTATTACACATTGTATGCATATTGAAATGTCACATTTTACACCATATATCTGTGTACAACTTTGTGCCAATTAAAAATAAAATACATTTTTAAAGAAATTAGTAGAAAATAATGCTTTAAGTATTTATCACTGAGTGGTAAAATTATAAAGATGAAATAATAAATATAAATATAAGGATATTATAATGATAATAAAGATAATATTATAAAGATAATAAAAATTCAGGATGGGAAGTTGAAGCATGACTTTCATAGATACCAGTTGAACATTTGAGCTCATACAATTTCTAGAGCTTATTCTTACTCGAATATTTACTTTCCATACAGTTATCACCTTTGCTTTTATCTGAAGTCACAGATATTCTTTCTGTCCCATATAAATATTTATTATTCATAATATTAGAGGAATAAATTAATGGATGAGTGATCTAGCCTCTCATTAATCTTAGTGGCTCAATGCTGTCGTACATTGGATGTGACATGGGAATGAGTCTCTGCTCCATTCATTACAGTTCAGACATTCAGGTACCTAGGAGTGACAGTGCCATCTTTAGGGCCCTGGACTATCCCAGTCCATATTCTGGATTGGGTAGGGAAGGAAAAAAGTTTATTAAGGATCTTGAAGTATTATCCCTTACTTCCATCAGCCTGGAGTCGAACACATTGCCCATATAATTGCAGGGAAAGTTTGGAATGTTATTTAGCTGTGTATTTAGGAGCAAGTGGAATGGATTTGTTGAACATTTAGCAGTATGTCTTGGCAACCAACCCAAAATAGCCACTGATAAAATTAAGTCTTGTGATTCTTCTCTAAATTTTCATCAATTGGTTAAAGATTGTAAGAAACACTTGGCTACAAAATTAAGTTTCAGATAATTTTATAGAGCAATATATTTTATGTTAGAAAGTCATTGTCAACAGTGGCATCAAGGGAGGCTTTCTAGTGTCAGCCGATAAGTTTTTGTTCCTCTGAAATTCTCTTGGTAACTTTTGTAGAGCATTTATCCCACTTTATTTCTACTTAAAGCTCATATATGTAAAAGAGATTATATCCTCAAATGAGCATTTCCCTTGCTTTTATCATCATGTGTCATTATCCCTACATTCTTTTATTATAGTTGTTATTGAGAGCATACTTGCTGATTTAGCATTGAGATTAACTGTAAAATAAGTAAATAGCAAATTGTTTCTTGGAAGTATAAAAGTCAATGCTTTTAAGAGATTTTTTTCATTGTTATCTGCTATTTCTAAGTGACTACAATACTCAGAAAGAAGTGGATGACAACCTTGGATTGAAGAATTTTGTTTCTACAAAGAATTGCTGTAACAGTAAACTTCATGTGCAGCGTTAGCTTTGCTATGATATGCCAATCAATGTACATCATTTTTAGAAGTTCCACTTCACCGAAGAAAGTTGCTATATTAAAATAATATTCTGCACATGGAGATCCAGGTTTTCCTGAATAAAAGACCTCTGATGTTTTCATCATGGTGGTTACTAATGATGGTAAAGGAAACTGATTTAAATTTCCTGCTTATTTTACATTTTACCTAACAAATTGCAGATGATAAGAGAGTATTCCACAAAATACATTTTGGCAATTCCAATAATCTGATGGAAACTGTACATTAATGATTTCTTTTTTACTAAAATAGTTTAAATTATATTAATACTATTTTATAAGGAATAAATTTTTCAATTATTTTCTCATATTTAAAATGGTCTTATATCTTGATATTTTTACTAGAGATCAAACTATCCTTTATCCACGATTAACCAAAAGAGATATTTGTGATATGTATTAAAGTATTTTTTTTTTTGGTGGCACTGGAGATTAAACCAAGGGCTGTCACAGTGAGTAATGTCACTAGCTCTTTTTACATATTTTATTTTGAGACAATCTCACTAAGTTGCTAGGTTGACCAGCCTGAGTTTGAACTTGTGTCCCAGACTGCTGACATTACAGGCATTTGTTAACATGCCTGGCTTACTAAAATCCATTCTAAAATGATAATTTTAGTCATTAAGTAAAGACATTCTTTAGATGATTATATATTCATGTGTGTACTTGTTTTTAGTAGTTAAAGCATTAATTAATACTTCTTATATGTATTATTGTCTTCTAACCACTTTTTGGTGTACTTTATAATGTATTATAAAATTAACTTGCTGCAAATTAAAAATCATTAGTGTTCAAAATAACATCATAATTTTAGTTTTTATGTTAGCCTACCTGCTGCTTTTATTAAATAAATAAATGTCAAAAATACCCACTTACATAATTTCTATTACTGTAAATGTATATTAGTTACTTGAATAAATCTGTGGAAGAATGTTACTAAATATACCTTTTAAAAAAGTAGAAATTAGCATTTTTACTATTTTATCAAGTAGAAATATGTTACTAGTCATATAAAAACAATGATGAAATATTTCTAGCATTATTTATTATAAAACCTTTTGACATTATCTGGCATTACATACAGCTCTTTATTGGTCATTTTATGTCACACTACTAATTCTCTTAATATTTAGGAATAATGATTGATGAAGATTTACTGACGAAAACAATCTGAGTTATTTTAGTCTTAATAAAATGACCCTCAAATTTTCATTTACTATAGTGAATGTGAACTTGTTGAAAAATTTTAAAGC